AAAATCTAGTTAAACTTCCGTTGAATACCAAGAAGTGGAGGAGCTATATGCAAGGTAGGGGGAATTCCGAGTTTCTAGCGTCACTTCTCTGTCCTTTCCCATTAAGAGAAAATGAACTTTCTCATGGCATAATCAGAGAAGAGTATCTCATTCCTTTGAGGTAGAGGCGTTCTCTTCGTTCCCGTTTAAGGAGGCAACAGCTCTGTCACGCTCTCCCATTCCTTAGCCGGTTACAAGGTAAAGGGGCGTTTGGCTTTATGTCTTCATTCTTACTGGGTAAGGGAGGGGTTTGTCATGCTTCTTTCCTAGTGGGAAATACATTGCCTATGTTAACATGTTAACAGCTGGAGGAAATCTTCATGTTTTAAGTTAGACGGAGAAGGAGCTCATTCATTTAGTAACTACTAGGAAGTAGAGGCGCTACAAAGCAGAGACCATGTAGAGGAATTCCGAGTTCCAGAATAAGTGGAAAGGGAACTTTCTCATATCGCATTCCTTTATAAGAGGTAGAGGAGCTCTCTTCATTGCTGTTTAAAGAGGCAAAAGCTCTGTCACGCTCTCCCGTTCCCCTCTCCGATTACGAAGTACAGGGGCTTTTGGCTTTATGTCTTCGTTCGCTTTGTCGCTCCTTGCCTATTGGGAAATAGATTGGTGCCTCTGTTAACAGCTAGGCGAACTCTTCATGGATCCCTATCCGATTAGGACTTAGAGAGGCATGAAGCGATAAAGGAGCTGTCTTTTTCTTCCTGAGGACTGGAGGGGGTTTGTCATGCTTTATGCTTTGAGGGACTCTTCATGTCTTGTTAAACAGCGATGGCGCTCTTCATTTAATACCAATAAGAAGCAGAGTAGCTACAAGGTACAGACCAGGTAGAGGAATTTCGAGTTCCAGAATCGTTTCCCTTTCCTTTCCGATTGAAAGTGGAAACGAACTTTCTCATGCTCTATTCATCTCAGTCCTTAAGAGGTAGAGGAGCCAGCTTCATTCCGTCAAATCATGCTCCCATCCTATTGTATCATTGAAAAATGGGCTGTGTTCCTGTTGTCTTTTTTGCCAGCTAGAGGAAACTCATCATGTGTTGAGTTCAACAATGAATGGCTCTTTAATTTAATGCCAAGATGTCGTAAGTAGAGGAGCTACGAGGTAGGGACCAGGTAGAGGAATTCCGAGTCGCAGAATCGATTCTCTTTCCTTTCCTATTGACAGTGGAAAAGGAACTTTCTCATTTCCTATTCAGATAAGTAGTACCTCATTCCTTTAAGAGGCGGAGAAGCTTGCTTCATATCGCTTCTCTTTCCTTTCCTATTGAAAGTGGAGACGGCACTTTTTCATTTTCGAAAAAAGTATCTCATTCCTCTAAGAGGCAACGGAGCCGCCCTGTTTCCTTTAAAACAAGGCGGTTCAACAGTACCAAATTTTCTTAAAGGTTGTCTTGAAAAAAATTTGGTACTGTTGAACCGCCCTGTTTTCTTCAAACACGGCAGCACGCTTCCAGAAAAATTGCCACCTTGCTATCTCTCTCCTCTCTCACTTCCCTTTCCCTTCTCTCCTTCTAGTTTCTTTTTTAACTGATAAAACACAAGAAAGGAACTTGCGTGATAAAGCAGTGGAAGGGAAAGCAGAGGGTGACTCCTTGCGCGTGGACCTTGCCGTACTTCATCATATCCCTCTTCTCGGCCTATCTCTTCTGCTCTTTTTTCTTACTGTTCTCCTTTTCATAATTCTTCCTGTTTAGTTGTTCTTATTTCGAAAAGAAAGAGGGAAGGGAGAGATAAGGGAGGGAGGAAAGATAAAGAAAAGTGCCATCTTCTCAGCGCCTTTTTTTGTCTCTCCTTCTTCTCTATTCATCTCTCTTCTATTCTTTTCTTTGCCATTCCATTGAAACTGGATTCCTGTCATCTCTCCTCTCCTCTCTCCTTCTCTCTCGCTCCTCTTCTCCTGTTCCCCTCTAAACGATTGCTCTTTACAGATAGGTGCCCCCTCTCCTCTTCAGGAATTTCCTTTCCCTTATTTTGCTTTTTGAAGCGAAGAAAACAACAGATAAGAAGAGAGGAAAGTGAATGACTAAGTAAAGAGAGGAGCCCTTCAATTTCCCTCCCTATATCTGACGCTATTATTCTTTCTTGGTTGTCGCCCTTCTTTCTCCCTTGAAGATGCAGAAAACGATCAGGAAGGACACCCGTTCCATCGCCCATATATGAGAGAAATCATGAGCATCAGCTGGGTTTGCTGCCGATCCAAAATGGGCGTCCTTTTTAATCGCCTTCTGTGTCTTCAAACGAGCAAAAGGACACCCTGACTAAGTGTTTCCTTGTGGTGTCCCTTTTCCTCGCTTGAAGATGCAGAAAACGATCCAAAAAGACACGCGTTCCATCGCCCATATATGGGGAGAGAGAAAAATCATGAGCATCAGTTGGGCTTGCTGCCAATCCAGAGCGGGCGTCCCTTTTAATCGCTTGCTGTGTCTTCAAACGAGCAAAAGGGACACCCTAAGTGCTTTCTTGTGGGGTGTCCCTTTTCCTCGCTTGAAGATGCAGAAAACGATCAAACAGGACACCCGTTCCATCGCCCATATATAGGGAGAGAGAGAGAGAGAGAGATCATGAGCATCAGCTGGGTTTGCTTACATGTTCATTGTTCTTCCTTTTGTTTCTTTCTTTCTAACGGAAATGAACAAGAGAAGAGAAAAATTAGAACCAGAAGAAAGATGAAAACGAGCACCGTCTTCTCTTTGCCTGATTTTTGCGCCTCCCTCGCCTGTCTTCATTTCTCTTCCATTCTTGTCATTGCTTATCCCATTAGAGTTGCGTTCCTTTTGATCTCTCCTCTCTCCTTTCTCTCTCTCTCTCTCTCTCTCTCTCTCTCTCTCTCTCTCTCTTGTTCTCCTGTAAATCTCAAAAACACACAAAAGGAAGCTTCTTTTGCCTTTTTGAAAGAAAAAAGAAAAAAAGAGATGGGGAAACAAATTGAAGAGCTCCACTGCCTATTGTTTCATTCCCTTTCCTCTCGTTCTATGTGTTGTTTCCTTGTCGTTTCAGAGAGCAAGCAAAATGAGGGCAAGGGCTTCCTGAAGAGGAGAGAGGGCACCTATCTGCGAAGAGCAAGAATAGTCTTGTCTTGTTTAATTATAGAGGGAAAGGGAGAGACAAGGAAGGGAGAGATTATAGATAAAGAAGAGTGCCATCTCCTGTGCGCCTTGTTGTGTTCCTCCGTCTCCTTGTTTCTTGTCTCCTCTCTTCTGTTCAGTACCCTTCCAGAAAAATAAAATGGCCTCCTTGCTGTCTCTCCTCTCTCACTTCCCTTTCCCTTCTCTCCTTCTGTTTCCTTTTAACTGATAAAACACAATAAAGGAACTTGCATGATAAAACCTTGCCGTACTTCATCATATCCCTCTTCTCGGCCTATCTCTTCTGCTCTGAGGAAAGATAAAGAAGAGTGCCATCTTCTCAGCGCATTGTTTTGTCTCTCCCTCTTCTCTATTCATCTCTCTTCTATTCTTTTCTTTGCTATTCCATTGAAATTGGATTCCTGTTATCTCTCCTCTCTCCTTCTCTCTCCCTCCTCTTCTCCTGTTCCTCTCTAAATGACAAAAACACAAGAAAGGAAGGACAAGAGGGGAATGGAAGCCCTTTTCCTGTCTTCTCCTGTTGCAATAAGAAGGAAAAGAGCATAGGAGATAAGGAAGGGAATTGAAGAGCTCCTCTCGCTACTTTCTCATGCCCTTTCCTTTCTATCTACCACACCAAAACACGACTCTCAGCTTCCAAATAAACCCTATCTAAGCCGGCCACCCCCCGCCCCCCCCTCCCCCCTCTCCTTTATATGAAATGAACACTAGACACGAACGACGTCCTCTATCTTTTAATGCAGCAGGAGAGAGCTCCTCTCTCTCCTAATGGGACATGAAAGTCCTCTTGTATTTGTTTTCAATGAAAGATCTGTCTCTCGAGGAAATGGAAGATCTCCCCTATCTCTTTCTAGGAAACACTTCTTCAAGTAGGAGAAAGGCTCTTTCATAAGGTGTAAATAAGGAGCTCTGTCATTCCCCAAAAAAGAAGAAGGAGAGAGGGGAGCCCTTGGAGGACCCCTTTTCAGAAGAGGCAAGGGCACTCATTACCTACACAGAGATAAAAGAGCTTTCAAGGGTTAACCTGTTGAAGTTTTAGATAAGAAATAGTTATAATGGCTTCCAAAGGTTTAAATGCTTCTGCTTTTGTGGCAGAAGCAGCCAGCAACAGAACGTGTCTGGCCAAAGAGATTAGGGTTTAAATAGTCCAATGTATATAAACAAAAGACCTATGTCAAATCATACGTAAAGGTTCCTGCCTCATATATATATATATATATGTCTTTGGGGCCCCCAAAACTTATGGGTGAGGGTTGAGAGTTTAGGGCTTGGTATATTGCCCTAAACCCACAGGCGCGCGTCGGGGGGGTCGGGGTCTGGCGACTGGCGATTCTGTCTTTCTGACTTAGGATCTGATAGGGTTTAGCGTTTAGGGTTTAGGGTTTAGGGTTTACGGTTTAGGGTTCAGGATCCAGGGTGGCATCCGGGGCTAGGCCCCAACCATTGGCCGGAACCTTCAAGGTCTCGAAATCTGGATGATTTCAGCTTGGGATGTTCCCCTTTGTACTAGCAGTCCCTCTTAGAGAATATAGTACCCCCTGTTGAAATCCCAACTAAGGACTGTTAGGACCCCTTACATCCCAAGTTTCAGTGCTTGTGGCGGTTGGGGTGTTTAGGGTTCAGGGTGTCCTGCAAAGCCTCATGCCCTAAGCCCTGAACCCTAAACCCTGAACCCTAAACCCTAAACCCTAAACCCTGAACCCCAAACCCGACCTGGGACCTCAAAGACCTTCAGGGGACTTATGCCCTGTAGCTCAGGGGAAAGCCTGAACCCTTAACCCTTAACTCCCAAAACCCCAAACCCCGAACCCCAAACCCCAAACCCTAAACCCTAAACCCTAAACCCGAAACCCGAAACCCGAGGCCCAAGTCCTTGGGTTCCTGGATCACATCATCGGAGAACTTGGCGCGGCAGGCCTTGCACAGGACCTGTGGCTTGTTTTGAGTTTAAGGTTTAGGGTTTAGGGTTTAGGATTTAGGGTTTAGGGTGTAGGGTGTAGGGTTTAGGGTTTAGGGTTGAGGGTTGACGGTTACCCAAGAGTAACCTGGGAATTAAAAGTGTGCCCTTTTTGGTTTAATGGGGCTCATACGGGACCCTACGCGCCAAAACAAGGAAGAAGGGCCTTCTCTGGGTTCTAGGGCTTAGGGTTGAAAATGTAGGGTCATGGAGGTCACGGAGGTCATGGGGTTTATGGGGTCATTGGGGCGGGCTTTGGGGGTATTAGGGGTGTGTGGGGTTTGGGGTTTAGGGCCTGGGGTTTGTGGTTTAGGGTATAGGGCTGGGTTTTAGGGTATAGGGGGGGGCTTGGGGCTTGGGGTTTGTGACGCTTGGGGTTCCTCAGGACCCCAAACCGAAAAAGAACATCCAGCAAAAGAAAGGGAACACCACGCTGGGGATACAAAAAGGGACCATAATTGAGGAAACTGCCCAAATCCTAACTTGAGGGATTTAAGGTTTGAGGTATATTCCGGCCTAAAACATTCCTCACAAGGTCCCTACCGGGTCAAGTGAGGGCATGGCGTGAATTGGCACATACTTCACGAGCTTCTCGTTTGCTCCAGTTCCAACAGGCCGTCCTCGGAAGATCACAGGGAAGACCGGCAAATAGCCCCCTAAACCCTAAACCCTAAACCCTAAGCCCTAAACCCTAAACCCTAAACCCTAAACCCTAAACCCTAAAGAGCGAGAACATCCGACACAACAGATGTATTCGGGAGCTCGATGCGGCTGTCAGCGGGAAAAGGTGAAGCTAGGTTTGCTTGAAGTGAGGCTAGGGTTTAGGGTTTAGGGTTGAGGGTTGAGGGTTGAGGGTTGAGGGTTGAGGGTTGAGGGTTGAGGGTTGAGAGTTGAGGGTTGAGGGTTGAGGGTTGAGGGTTGAGGGTTGAGGGTTGAGGGTTGAGGGCGCAGCGGGCACACTCCTGCCTGGTGCTGAAACATTCTGGCTAAATTTATGGGAAAGGACGCTTGCTGCCTCATGCAGTCGTTCGATTGAAGGTAATGTAAGGAAAGACATAATCAGAATGGCTATACTAAACCCTAAACCCTAAACCCTAAACCCTAAACCCTAAACCCTAAACCCTAAACCCTAAACCCTCCACTTTTTCGGCCAGTGTTTCGGCTGACAACCGAGGGAGATGCAGGCACGGACTTTCGGATTGAAGGATTGGTCCGCTTGGTGCTTGTGTGGTTTCTTCGCTCATGTACACCCAAAGCCCTGCACCCTCTAAGCTTGTATTTATGAACACACACGCAGGATTGGGTTTAGGGTTTTGAGGACAGGGATGGGATCAAGCTGTACGGACTCAAGTCAAAGAAACCCTGAACCCTGAACCCTAAACCCTAAACCCTAAACCCTAAACCCGCTGTGAGGATATCGAGGACCTCGTGCCAAGCATCGCTCGACCTCCAGGACGTCTGCAATCTCACGCCAGGTGGGGATGCGATAGGCCTCTGGGTTGAAGAAGTGGACGTCCTCCAGAGGGGGTTTAGGGTTTAGGGCTTAGGGGTTAACATGCAACTCCAAACTCTTACAAAAAAAACCGAATGTAAGAAAACATTGCGCTAGATCACGAGGCGAATTGCCCCCTCTAAGCCCCCGAAACCTTAAACCCCAAACCCCAAACCCTAAACCCCAAACCCTAAACCCTAAACCCTCTCTACACCCTGAGCCCAAGCCACCTCATGCCCCCACGCCCGTAAACCCGTAAACCCTCAGTCCCCACCCCCATTTGCAAGGTTCATATGTGAAGGGTCTTAAGACCCAAAAAACCTTAAACCCTAAACCCTGAACCCTCAACCCTAAAACCCTAAACCTTAAAACCCTAAACCCTAAACCCCAAATCCTAAACCCTAAATAAACCAATGGTCACTAGAGTTCCCCAACCCCAGGAACAGCTATGCGTGAACCTCCAAGCCAGACTCCCCCCCAAACCTAAGCCCCAAACCCCAAACCCCAAACCCTGAGCCCTAAACCCCAAAACCCCAAAACCACAAAAACCCCAAAACCCTAGAGCCAAGGCTCCCCAAAACCCCAAAACCCCAAACCTCTAAAACCCCCCCCAAAACCGCTAAACCCAACAGCCCCTGTGGCGTCCTCCATCATGAAACCCCTAGACCCCAAACCCTAAACCCTAAACCCTAAACCCTAAACCCCAAACCCTAAACCCTAAACCCCAAAAGCCCAAAAGCCCTGCTGTGGCGTCCTCCATCATGGTGAAGGTGCGGCCACGGCACTTGAGACCCAGCTGATCCCGCAGGTGGTCCAGTTCCCTGTTTAGGGTTCCGTGTTTAGGGTTTCGGGTTTAGGGTTTAGGGTTTAGGGTTTGGGGTTTAGGGTTTAGGGTTTAGGGTTCAGGGTTTAGGGGGGTAGGGCGTAGGGTTTGAGGTTAACCTGAGATCCTGGCTGACCGCAGCTATACTAGACCCAAGAGCAACCTAGGAATCAAAGGGTGCCCTTCTTTTGTTCAAAGGGGCTTACGAATGGACCCTAAACTCAGAAACAGGGAAGAAGGGCCGACTCTGAGTCCTACTTAGTTGTCCAGTACCTAGGGGTTTTAAAGGTTAACCTTTGGGATTATAAGGGGAATATATTACCCCAAAAAGGTTAAAGGTTACCTACTCTACTACTAAGAAGGGCCTACTCTGAGTCGTGTTGTGGTAAGGTGTCTTAGGACATGTAGGTGACATGGGTTCACAGTTGCTATCAAATGGATCTCCAGATAGGATTGCGCCCCTAACCCTAAACCCTAAACCCTGAACCCTGAACCCTAAACCCTAAACCCTAAGCCCTAAGCCCTTGGCTTTATCTTCGGACTATCCCCACATCTGTGCAGATGACCGTCGCCTAGTGCCCTTGAACTTCTGTTCGCAAGGTTGGCCTGAATCCTAAACCCTAAACCCGAAACCCTAAACCCGAAACCCGAAACCCGAAACCCTAAACATTTGCAGGAACCAATGCTGCACACAGATTCCGGTCTTGTAAGAACGACAAGCGAGTTCCAAGCGTGTTGAAGCTGCTTGTGTGGTCCAAGCTGTTTGTGCGTGTAAGCTATGGTTTAGGTCTTTGGGGTTCAGGGCACTTTGAGGGGAAGGGCCAGGGATTCAAGGTTTAAGACTAAAAACCCTGAATGCCCTGTACCCTAAAGCCTAAACCGCCTAAACCCTAAACCTTTTTAGGGTAGGGCTTCAGCACCAACAGTGGCAACTTGGGAAGCAGGAGCCCTTCCCCCCAAAGGCCGGCCTGTAGTAGCTAAGCCGCATCTCATGCCTTCGAGGGTTTAGTTATTAGGGTTTAGGGCTAGGGTTTAGGGTTTAGGGTTCGGGTTTGGGGCTTAGGGTTTAGGGTTTAGGGCCTTAAGCTTGCAAGCAGGGCTTGCGGGGGTTTGCTTCAACAAGCCCGAGGAAAGGCGAGGTCAGAACCCAAATTAGCCCCGTCACAAGGGTTTAAAGTTTAAAGCCTAGGGCAGTATGTGCGTGAAGTCTTTGGTTTCTTGCACCTCCCGATTGTAAGATCAGAGGCTTCAAGCTTTAAGTTCCAGGCCTCGGGTTACGAGGTGCCTTCCACTGTCCCCTAAACCCTAAACCGTAACCCTAAACCCTACACCCTAAACCCTAAACCCCAAACCCCAAACCCTGACTGAGTTGAAGGACCTTCCACGCGCGAAGGCGTCTCCTAGACAACAGAAAGCATTTTTTACATCCCTTGAGTCTGAAAGCCGTCCCGAAAACCCAAAGTAAGGTGTTAAACACAACTTAGTTGCTGAGTTCATAAGCCCCCCCCCCAAAAAAAAAAAGTGCACACCTTACAGTTCTTTCGGGGATGATTAAGTGTGAAGTGTACTCGTCCAGCTGCTTAGAAAAGTTTGGGCTGAGGGGCTTTTAAAAGCCCTGAAGCACCTGTCCCCGCAGCACAGAAACCAAACACGCATGGCTTGCAACCCGAAGCCCTCAACACATCTGAACGATGGGGCTTAGGGTTTAGGGTTTAGGGTTTAGGAAAGTTTAGGGTTTAGGCTGTAGGGTTGAGGGTTGAGGGTTGAGGGTTCTTGGCTGCGCCAGGGAGCAGTTTCAAGGCTTGCTGCTCGTAGACCTTCGGACAGGCTGATGCGTCACCCTTTCCCTGAACATGGGCCCGGGCCATAAGCACCGAATGAACCCCTCAAACGCCCAAGCCTTAACGCTAAACCCTATGTACCCCCTATTATAATCCCTAGTGTAAGGACTGTGAGCATAAGGGCCATAAGGGGGAACATCCCAACCAATGAACCCTACCTTAAAGCCTCAGGCCTAAGATCGTCTGGAAATGCAAGCAGTTCTCGAAAAAGGAGCCCTTTTCACTGCTTAAGCTCCCCGAAGGATAACGGGCTAAGGTTTGAAGGCCCGGATCTAAAGTGCATACTACAAATCTGTTCGAAGCAGTCGTCTGTGGCATAGCAGGTAAGCTATAAGGAACAGCACTGGAACTTCGCAGACACCACCATGCTCTTTCAGCAGTCATCCTCCACACGGCCGAGTAGCATCAAGGCTGCGGCAAGGCTACACTGCTATGCACGTTCCAGCGCCTCTTCCAGGGATTTTCTGCCATGCCGGCGAAGGTTTCAGTGGCATTGAATGCCCCCAAGATGGAGCCCTCTACGTATTAGCAAAAGACACTCAAGCGAGCCGTGTGGGCCATATCCGAGGTTCATCAGGAGAACAAGCCCAAGGACCGCCAGCCACAGTTAGAAGCCAGTTCGCAGTTGCAGATCCGCATGAAGTCACTCCACCACCGCTTGGTAGCTCAATAACCATCTTAGAATAAAGGCACCTGTTTTTCTGGGTGACTTTAGAAGGGAACCTTGAACAACATAATAGTAAACGGTACCACTGAGCTAGCAAGACCGATAAGAAGGCAGTGTTGACCGGCCCCTGGTCACCCATGACTTCGGAAAGCTGCCCCAGCAGGGCAACTAGGGATCTCAAAGGGTTTAGGGCTTATATGGGCTTAGGGTTTACGATTTAGGCTTTAGGGTCTAGGATTTAGGGTTTAGGATTTAGGGTTTAGGATTTAGGGTTTAGGTTTAGGGTTTAGGGGTTTTCAGGGTTTGAAGGGTTTTAAAGTTGAAGGGTTTTTATAGGGCTTAGAGGGGCTTAAGCAAGCTCATCGGTTGCGCCCCAGTAGGTGCTGGTCTCATTTCAGAGATGCATGGACCGTTCCTCTAAGGCTCCAAGAGTTTAGGGTTTAGGGTTTTGGGTATTAGGGCCCAAAAGGCCTTGTTAGAACAAGGGTGCTGGGGCTATTTGGAGCCTAGGGGTTACAATTCGTGGACACGTGTGCGCTTAGCAGCACTTGTGCAATGCAGGCATTCAAGCATTGCACACCTGGGTCTCAACAGGTGATTTAAGGGAGGAAAGGTTCTACTAGGTATCCGAAAACACAACCTACCAAACAGCATCCTCCTGATAAGATGGGCCAGATCCACGCACAGGCCCTTGTGAACTATTCAATCCTGAGCCCTTTACCCTCTGCACTCCAAACCCTAAGTAGCTAAACTCTGAACGCCCCGACAGCAACCCCTGAACCCCAAAACCCGAAACTCAAAACCCAAAACTCATTCCACCCGGCCCGAAACCATTAGTTCCCTTTAAGAAAACCATTTGAAAAAATGGGTTCGTTCAATCCGACAAAGGGGTGGTCCATGAGCCCCTCTTCGGCCCCGAATAATGGCACTGATTCGGGACTCTGTTGAATGTCAAGGCCCCGGCCCTTAGGCTCAGAATTTGGAAAAATCATCTGGGACCCTTTGAAATTCATCTAAGCTCGTCGCCTTTAAATTCACACGGGTCCCTTTAAAATTCATGTAAGCTCATCCTTTTTTTAATTCATATGGATCCTTTTGAATTCATACAAGCTGATCCCTTTTGAATTCAAACGGATCCATTTTTAAATCATATAAGATCATCCCTTTTTAGATTCAAATGCATATTATAAGCTCATCCCTTCTAAATTCATATAGAACCCTTTCAAATTTGTATAAACTCCTCCCTATTAAACCCCTGGGCCCGCTTAAAGAGGAGCAAACAAATGCAGCCTCAAGCAACCCTAAATCCACTAAACCCTGAACCCTGGACCCCCAAAACCCTAAACCCACAACATAGATCAACCCCCAAAACCTTGGGGACGAAATGAACCCTATACTACTATAATTCCTATTAGGGTGTACGAGCCATAAACCCTAAACCCTAAACCCTAAACCCTTTTGGGGTTCATCTGGTCACGCGAAGGTGGGCCTTCCCAAGCTCTCCGTAAAACTTCTTCTGGGCTTCACGATTCCAGAGGTTGCGGCTGAGCCTGCAGAGTCTGGGAGTCAGGTTCCAGGTTGGGTTTAGGGTTTAGGGTTTAGGGTTTAGGGTTTGGGGTTTGGGGTTTGGGGTTTAGGGTTTAGGGTTTAGGGTTTAGGGTTTAGGGTTTAGGGTTTAGGGTTTAGGGTTTAGGGTTTAGGGTTTAGGGTTTAGGGCCTCGGGCTTTAGGGCTGCAGCTTAGGTCGCGGAGCTTCGCATGGCCTGGGTTTAACGTTGAGGGGGGTGGGGGTTGCACTAGGCTGGGCCCCGTTGGAACACCTGAATTCTTTCTCATACATAACCCTAAGGGTCAATGTACTTAAATGAATAAGCAAGTACATGGACGCTTGGGGTGAGAACATCTGAAATCCAAAAAGGGAAGATATTGAAGTAGGGTTTATATTCCCAGTATCCCCAAAGGACATCAAGTATGAACACTCACCGATATTTACAAGGAACCCTAGCTACACTTACCAAGAACAGTCATGTAAACTCTAAACCCTACACCCTGCACCCTACACCCTAAACCCTAAACCCTGATTCGTTCAATCTGACATGCCACAAGACCAGAGGTTCCAATGATGTAGGGTTTAGGTCGAGTTAAGGGCTTCGGGTACAGTACCTAGGCCACTATTCTTCAGGGTTCAGGGGTTTAGGGGTTTACGGTTCAGGGTTTAGGGTGGCTCTACTGAAGGAGGCCCAAATGGCCCTAGACCGACATTCGAACATGTTTGGTACCTTGCAATGCCTTCTCACCCTATTTCTTGGTGTGCCTCTGCCTTGGGCACAGTATGTAGACCCCACTGCATGACATGCATGAAGCCCGCATGGCTAGGCAGAGGGAAGGGCGCCTGTGTATACGGACTGTGAACCTTTACCCAAAGCCCTGGCCCCTAACACGGCCCTAGGCCTTCAACACTAGAACCACCCAAAGCAACCCCAAACCCCAAACCCCAAACCCTAAACACCACAGAAACCTTAGGGGCCTGGCCTGGCTTCGAAGGTCCTCATGCCCACTTCCTGTCCGGTTTGCTGAGGGCCCGTCGGCCCTTGCGGGTTTAGGGTTTAAGGTTCAAAGGGTTTGTAGGGTGCTTATACGGTTTTTGTGGGGTTTATAGGGTTTGTAGGTTTAAGGATTTATAGGGTTTATAGGGAGGTTTATAGGGTTTTTAGGGTTGATAGGGTGCATAGGGTTCGTAGGGTTTATAGGGTTTCTGGGGTGTATAGGGTTTATAGGGTTTGTAGGGTTCATATGCTTTGTAGAGTTTATGGGGTTTATAGGGTTTATTGGGGTTATGGGGTTTAGAGGGTTTGTAGGGTTTATGGGCCTTATAGGGTTTTCCAGGGTTTGTAGGGCTTATAGGGTTCGAGATGGCGACAAAATCTTTGGGCATGACGGGCACCTTGTCGAAGCGCTTGTGGTGTTCGCCACCATTTCTACTGTAACTCTTCCAACAGAGCATGGCGTGGGTGATGGGATGGCCTCTGGCTAAATGACCCGTGAGTCCCCAGATTTGCCACAGGATGAAAGTCGACCATCTCTGGAGCCCTTCTTTGTGCATCGTTGTTCAGGCCTCCCGGATCGTCCTGGTATTCCAGTCCGTCCATGCCTCGCCCGGTTGTCTTGCTTTGCTAAGCATCGCCCTTATTTGGGCGAGCTGTTGGGCGTTGGCCTGTTTCAGCAGGCTCTCTTGTGGTGGCCATGTGTTGCACGCCCAGAGTGCTCAACTGCTGACGCACGTGTTGGGTAGTTTCAGTCGTGGGCCAACTGGTGTGGATGCACACGGGGGGGTGGGGTGTAGGGCTTAAGCTTGGTGGTCTTGGGTTTATAAGGTGCACACTCATGCATGTGAGCAGCGTAGGAGCCGTTTGATTAGGACGGGGTTTTTTTGGGGGGGAACTTTCTGCCCTAGACCCTAAACCCTAAACCTGACCCTAAACCCTAAACCCTAAACCCTAAACCCTAAACCCTAAACCTGCTCTCATTACAGCGAATAAAAGTGGCTTACGGTCGGGGATGCAAGGTTGGTGGGATTGGGATGTTTTGGGACTCTACCTTGTTATTTGGGGACCCTTCGTTGAAGATGCCTAAGGTCATATGCTGGCCATGCCCTAAACACTAAACCCTAAACCCTAAACCCTGAACCTTCAGGGGTGCAACTTTGGGGGTACGAGTCTTAAGACCTTGAAGGTTGGGGATCGAGGCTTGGAGGGTGGGCGAACCCAACATTAAGACCCTCCCCCCCTCCCTCCCCCCCTCCCTCCCCCCCTCCCTTCCCCCCCTCCCTCCCCCCTCCCTCCCTCCCCCTCTCCCTCCCCCCACCCCCCCACCCCCCCTGGGTTTAGGGTTTAGGTTTAGGGTTTAGGGTTTAGGGCGAGGGCTTAGGGTTTTGGGTTTAGGGTTTCGGGTTTGGGGTTTAGGCTTTAGGGTTTAGGTTTTAGCTAAAGAAGGGACCCTTATAAAGGACCTTAGGGGTTCTGTGGGGGGGCATTGTTTAAGGGCTACTTAGGTATCTAGGGACTATATAAGGCATATACAGGGGCTAAAAGGGGAATGAGATTAAGCTTAGGATCCTCCTCGGGTTTAGGGGTAAGCATCTACACTGTTGGTTCACGTATGTTTTATTTATCGTTCTTGTCTATTTGATGAGGGTTCTAGGGTTAGGGGTCTGAAGTTTAGGGCTTTGTCTCAGGGACAGCTCAGGGGGCATTCGGGGCAATCAAAGCCCATGAAGGCCCGTAAAACCCCAAGCCCTAAGCCCTAAGCCCTAAGCCCTAAACCCTAAACCCTAAATCCTAAACCCTCAACCCGAGACCCTAAACCCTACACCTCTTGGAGGTCGCCTTGAAAGGCAAGTCGGCGGGCTAGGTAAGGGTTCAGAGCTCAAGGTTTGTTTTGCAAACCCTAAGTCCTAGGCCCTAGGCCCTAAGCCCTAAGCCCTAAGCCCTAAGCCCTAAGCCCTAAGCCCTAAGCCCTAAGCCCTAAGCCTTAAGCCCTAAGCCCTAAGCCCTAAACCCTAAACCCTGCCTGAACCCCTAACCCTCCCTCGACTAAGGCCACGTCGTGGCCTGCTGCATGTCGAGGGCGTGCCCGGCATTGATCGCCGAGGCAAGGTCGAAGAGGAGCAAGGAGAAATTATCCTTGACAAGGCTTAGGAGGTTTAGGGGTTTAGGGTTTAGGGTTTAGGGTTTGGGGTTTGGGGTTTAGGGTTTAGGGTTTCAGGGGGATTCAGGGATCTAGGGGTTTCGGGAATTTGGGGGATTTGTGGGTTTAGGGGTTTTGGGTTCAAAGCTTCAGAGGCTACCGACTGTCAGGGGACTTCGGGAAGATGGCCCCAAACCCCTAAACCCTAAACCTACTTAAACCCCAAGCCCTAAACCCCAAACCTTAAACTTAAACCCCAAACCCTGAACGTTAAGCCCTAACCCCTAACCCCTAAACCCTAAACCCTAAACCCTAAACCCTAAACCCTAAACCCTAAACACCCTAAACCCTGTTCTTTGTTCCGAGCATCTACGCGCTGCTCGGTCACCGGCAGCGTCAGGGCAAAGTCCAAGCCTGCCGGTTTAGGGTTTAGGGTTTAGGGTTTAGGGTTTAGGGTTTAGGATTTGGGGTTTAGGGTTTAGGGTTTAGGGTTTAGGGTTTAGGGGTCCGACTCGGCTTAGTTCCCACAAAACAAGATGCGAAAGGAGTTTACCATCCAGCCCCCCTCCATCCAAGCCCCCAGAGCTGACTAGAGGGGGAGAGCTTGGAGGGGGGGCAGGAATGGGAGCTGGATGGTGGATGGAGGCGGGGGTTGGATGGAGGGGGGGGTGGAGGGGGGGGGGGGGGGCTTTGGGACCCATCCGCAAGCCGCAGGGAACCGCATGAACCGGAACCGTTCCAGAGTATGTACCGGCAACCGAAACGAATCTACACGAACCGTGGCCTTACTGAGTTTAGGGCTTGTAGGGACCCGGAGCCTTCGCTTCTTTCGCCCGCGTCTCTTTAGCAGATTGGAAGTAGACATGACGAGGGTAACTCCAGGGCTTGTAAATTTTAGGGGTGCTAATTTGGGCGTAGGGTTTGTTAGGGTGTAGTGAGGGGATCAGTCTTCGCGTCCGTGTATATCTGCTGTGCTCAGCGGAAGCGAAGTGAACTTCGTCCGAATCCCTAAACCTAAAACCCTAAACCCTGCAAACCCTAAGCACCCGAAAAGACACCAAAATTCCTAAAAAGCCTTTCTCCTGAAGCCCTGAAATTTCCTGGCAGTGACAAGGGCCGTGGGTCTCGGCCCTGAATAGCAAAGTAAGGGGACCATCTTCACCTAGAGCCCGATGTTGCCAATGCCTGTTAACTAGCAACTTGAAAGAAACTAGACCGAGGCCCTCAACAAACCGTTCAGCAGGCCTCAACAGCCACAGTAGATGCGCTAGCAAGATGCACTCGACCTTAATATGTCACACAAGTGTTCCGCTTCTTCGCCTCTTGACCGCAAAACCTAAACCTAAACCTCAAGCCCCTAAACTTGGGATGTTCCCCCTTATACGAACAGTATTTCATACGGATTCTAGTACCCCAGTATAATCCCTATTAAAGACTGTTAGTATAGGGGGGAACTTCCCAACCCTAAACCACAAACCGAACAACCCCTACACAAACCCTGGACCCCATACCCCTGAACCCAAAACGCCTAAACCCTCAACCCCCAGGGACCTAGGTCATCGCTTGTTGCTCGGATTGACCTGGGCGGCGTTGGCGTGGTTTTCCGGGGTGCATCATCGGGACACCAACTCCCTTCCGGCTTCTAGAATTTTCGTGTTTAGGGCTTACAGTACATCGGGTGTAGGGTATAGAGTCGAGGGGTACACAGGGTGCTTGAAATTCGGGCGCAAGGGGGATCCCGGAAGCTCGGGAAGAAATGGGTAATTATGCCCAGGGTTTTTTGTATTATGATACTGCTATTTGCCTAAGAGCCCCTCCCCAAAAATCATCGAAAGATACTAATCCCTAGATTGCCCTCATAAGGCAGAAGATTTTCGCTACTTTGAGGGGGCTCCTAAGCAATTAGTAGAATACGGGGGGTTATGAAATGGGGTTCTAGAATTCGCAACTTTCGAGCTTTGGATGCCAGCGGAAGCAGGCACTTGGAGCTTCGGTTGAAGTCGCACACTTGGTAGCCCTGTAACCATATTATAGTAGGGGCACTCCTTTTCTGGGTTGGTTATTTTATCAGGGAACCCATAACCAAAAAAAGGGTCAAGGGTACCACTGGGCTACCAAGCACAAGAGTAACCTAGGAATGAGAAACCTACCTTTGGAGTAGACCCTGGAAAAAAAGTATATATTTTAGGTATAAGTAGCTATAATAGGAACCCAGAACCAAAAAAAACATTAAAGTACAGTACTCCAAAACCCAGGAAAAGGGTTGCCCTTTTTGGTTCTAAAGGGGCGTATAGGTCTAAGGGACCCGAAACCCCCCCAAGAAAGGGAACAAGGGCCGACTGTGGATCCTAGTTATTGCTAAAGCCCCGTATCGAAGTGCGATCTCGGTGAGGGTTTAGGGTTTAGGGTTTAGGGTTTAGGGTTTAGGGTTTAGGGTTTAGGGTTTAGGGTTTAGGGTTTAGGGTGTAGGGTGGTTTAGGGTTTCGGGTTTAGGGTTTAGGGTTTAGGGTTCAGGGTTGAGGGTTTAGGGTTTATAGGTTTTAATTTTAGGGATTAGCGTGACCCGAACCCCCACACACACACACACACACACACAAAACCCGATAAACGCTCAACCCGGAAACGCCGACATGCCAGCCCGTGTCATCAACTGAGGGGCTTCCGAAAATAGGTGTACCCTTTCTCTTTTTTTTGGCGGGGTGCCTCCTGCAATAAGGTTTTTGTATTTGTACGGGAACCCTCGTTTGGGAAATGCCCAATTTCCGGGCGACCAAGGGTTGGGGTGTAGGGTTGGGGTTTAGGGTTGGGGTTTAGGGTTTGGGTTCAAGATCTTGGGGGTTGCAGAGGCTTGCAAAGCCCGTGCTTTGGGTTCTCCTGTTGGGGGCTTGGGATTGCTACAGGGCGTTTGTATGGGCCCGGACCAGCCTGAAGCCTTCGACAATGCCGTGTGTCAGCGCCAGCGCATGCAGAGCTGCAGGCAGTACTTGAAAAGCACGTCTTTGCTCAAGAAAGCTGCGTGGGACCTGCTGGCCAGCATCTTGATGCGGCGCACAAAGTCCTCATTCAGGTAATTATGCAGGTACCTCCCGTTTTCCGGGGGCCGTGTCAAAGACCAAGTGCTCCAAGTGGTGGTTCTTGGGCCTCACTGGCCACCTACAGAATCGAGAGCGGAGAGCCCACGCTGAAAGCCGGTTATACCCAGCTCGATACACCATTTAGTGCTCACGTATCTGCTCCACAGCGCATCAGCTCAGAGCCCTAAAACCCTCAGCAGCCGGTAACAAACCTAGACCCCAAAACACCCTAAACCCTTAAACCCAAACCCCTCCAAAAGAAACAACTCCCCCCGCCCACAGGAACAAAAACAAATCCTAAACCCTCAACACCCCAAACCGTCAACCCTGAACCCTAAAATCCTACACCCCCCCCCCCCCCCCCCCCCCCCCAAGAAAAAACACACACACACACACACACACACAAATGGAGAAAAAACCAACAAACCCAAACCCTGAAATCTTAAACGCCCCGTAAGACCAACCTCCTAAAACATGACCCTGAACCCACAAAAAACAACGGAATCTTGAACTCTAAATCCGAAACCCTAAACCCTGAACCCCAAAAAAACCCAAATCCTGAAATCTGAAACGCCCCGTAAAACCAACCTCCTAAAACCCTAACCCCTAAACCCTAAGCCCTAACCCTAAACCCTAAACCCTAAAACCCCCAACACCCTAAAACACTGAAACCCTAAAACCCTAAACCCCCAAAAAAACAAGAAAACCCTAAAGCCCTAAACCCCAAACCCTATACCCTAAACCCCTAAACCCCTAAACCCCTAAACCCCTAAACCCCTAAACCCCTAAACCCCTAAACCCCTAAACCCCTAAACCCCTAAACCCTAAACCCTAAACCCTAAACCCTAAACCCTAAACCGCTTCCGAGGCACACCAGCGGGGCCTCAGCTTTAGGCGCCTCCAGCTTGCGCGCCTCGGAGCCCAAAAGAAGGCTTGAGGGTCTCTTCTAGGTAGCCCGGCAGGGTTTAGGGTTTAGGGTTTAGGGTTTAGGGTTTAGGGTTTAGGGTTTAGGGTTTAGGGTTTAGGGTTTAGGGTTTAGGGTTTCGGGTTTCGGGTTTAGGGTTTAGCGTTTAGGGCACAGAAACCATATTGAATTGAGGGTGCTCTTTTTGGGGTTGGTTGCTTTAGAAGGGAACCTTGAACCAAACAAGGGAAAACGGGCACCACTGGGATACCAAGGCTTTGGGGTTGAGATTTTGTGGTTTTAGGGTTTTATAGTTTTGGGGTTTGGGGGTTTGGGGCTTAGGGTTTTGGGATGTTCCCCCTTATACTAAAACAGTCCTTCCAAGGGCCCCTATTTTCGGGAGGATTTAGTTGATGGCCGCTTTTAGGGTCTTTAGTAGGGCTTTTGGGGGCTTTAGGGCTTTTAGGGGCTTCAGGCCTTCAACCCTACGAATCCCAAAATAAACACAACAAAGCCATAAATCTACAACCGAGTCGAAAAAAAGTCACCCCGCCTTTGGCGGCTCGGGTTGCTGGGGCGCGCCCATGGCGAGTTGGCGCGTTCGCTGACAAACTTGAGGGGCTTTTTCGGGGTCTGGGTGGTTGTTATCGCGTTGCACCTGGTGCACCATGGTTTAGGGGGTTTAGGGTTTAGGGTTTAGGCTTTCGGGTTTGGGGTGTAGGGTTAGAGCATAGCTTAAGAAAGGGAATTCCGGAATTACCAGGTCGGGTACCAGACACAAGGCTTCTAGAAGGGGCTTACAGAAGGTTGCTATAAGTTACTAAGGATTATGTAGCAGGAGCATGAACAGGGAGTAGGTGGTAAGCTACGGGAAGAAAGCCCACCCTAAGCTCTAAGCCCTAAACCCTAAACCCCAAACCCTAAAACCCCGAACCCGAAGCCCGAACAACAAAAG